TTCCTTTTGCCAGAAGCAGCCCTGGCCTCAGCACTGGGGCCAAACACAACTGAGCATCTCTGTTTGCAAAGTATTTGGCACCCCAGTGCTACTTCAACTACATGATAAACCTTCCCTGTGCCAACACTAAAATAAGCCTCTTGGAAGGAAAAAATTTGGAGATATTTAATGGGAAAACAAATAGGAACAGCACAAAAACTGGCAGGATTTCAGGAACCAAACATCTGCATTTTTCTGCTTAGTTCTGTGCTTTTCTCTATGTTAACTTTGCTCTTTCAGTGTTGTTCAACTATGTTTGTTTGTTTTCTGTAAATCAATTGCTCCAGCATCCATGGGATGAACACCAACAATATCTCTATGGCTTGGCAACACCACAAATTCCTATAATCCATGCTGAGCTTGGCTTTGGCAAATTTCTACTTCTTTCCTGGCTTCAAACCCACTGCCTAACCGGTAAAAACATAATACACATAATCTGTTAAAACATAAAACAATAATCTGTTGAGTGCAGCAGGAATGAACTTGGACTGGTTAATCTGCTGAAGTACATCTATTTACTTCTGTATCTGATCCAGTAAAATCCAAAAAAGCAGTTAAGAGTGCAGGCTCAGACTTCTATAATATCAGGGTGGATAAATTAAGCACAAAAAAGGATTACTCAGAAGATAAACTCCTTTTTCAGGTGAACTTATTGGATTTGTTAGCTTTTAGGATACCACCACGGACTGCAGAAACAGGAATACCATCTGAAGAGAATCTCCCTCTAGAAAATGATGAATTTCCAAGTTTATGCTAAGAACCGTCCCTTCCTCCACTCTGAAAGCTGCCTGATTTGCTTTATCTTTCCACGACATGTGCTTCTTCACAGCAGGGAATCTGCTTTTAAATGGTGTCTGAAAATCACCACGAAATTAATAAAAACAGCAGTCACTTCATCAGCATCTTCTGCACGAGGCGGTTCTTCAGATAAAGAAGGAGCCTGTTGATCTGCCATGATCCCAAAATGCAAGAAGGAAACTCACCTTTGCTGGATGCGTGGGTCAGTTTGCACCAAGGGCAGGATGGCTTCCAGCACTTTACTTGCTGATCCTGGCAGCATCTCTAATACTTTGTTATCAATTGCCATTTTGTCCACAATAGTCTTAAAGTAGCGCAATGCACTAACAACCTCCTTCTCCTTTTCCTCTAGCCATGATACATTCTAAAGAGGAGGGAAGAAAAGGAGAGATAAGTTAAAACTTGAGTATTTTTAAGGGCAGGATTTCTTTAAACAACCCAAAATAGGTGACACTGAGGTGTATTCCAGGAGGACTGGAAAAAAACTCTTCTACCACAAACACTTTTAAATTGAATTACTGCTCTTTCAAAGGAAAAGTCAGTGCAAGGTTACACCCACACTTTAACCTTCAGAATTACCTGCATTCCAAACTGAAGGCTGATCTTGATCAGTTTTAGGCTAAGATTAGCACCACTGGTGACATCAAGAACACTGCTTTGAAACCCACACCTTAAACTGGGACAGTGAAAGAAAAAACACTTCATGGAAAGGTTTGGGTTGGAAGGGACCTAAAAGCCCATCTCCACCCCCTGCCATGGCAGGAACACCTTCCGCTATATCCCAGGTTGCCCAAGCCCCATCCAACCTGGCCTTGGACACTTCCAGGGATGGGGCAGCCAAAGTTGCTCTGGGCAAGCTGTGCCAAGGCCTTACCACCCTTATCGGGAAGAATTTCTTCCTAATATCTAACCTAAACCTGCCCTCTGTCAATTTAAAGGCAACACCCCTTGTCCAATTGCTATATAAATACATGAAAACATCCAAATAAACTCTACTCTGATGAGCCTCCAGCCTAAATCATTTTGTGATGCTGCTGGAACAAGAGAACTCCCACAATTTCCATGAGGCCCAACTGTAAAAGCGAAGTTTTGGCACTGGTGAATGAATGTTGCAGAAGGGAACAATTCATTGGAATAAAGCTGAGTTGTGGTCACCAATTTTTGTGCCACCACCAACACCAGAGGAGGAAATTCAGAAGTGATACATGATACCTCAGGGCATTCTGGACAGGGATATTTTTTAAAAGTTTACAACAATATGCCTGGTGGACTTTTAATGCCACAAGTAGTTCCTAAGGGAGATTTAAATTAACTACTGAACACTGCTAGAAAAGGAGGAGAGAGCTTAGCAGAGTCAGATTTCATCCATTATCTCCTCAGTAAATTCAGCTTCAAGCATTAATGACCTATGGGTATTGTGTGCTCCCCATATTCTTGTCAGCTGTTAAACTGCTTGCTTTTCTGCAAAATCAGGCCAGCAGCACAAAGGTTTTAGGAAGAACAATTTACAGACAGCACTGGTTAGTAATTTGGGGCCAGTTGCATAAAAGGATTAGAATCCCAAGTTCCATCTATCTCCAACTTCAGAAGTCTAAGTCCCAATCCAAGAACTGCAAACCACCCTGTCATTTTCTGTCTCATCTGGGCAGTGCCCAAAATCTGCTGCTGGTTGCCCTCTGGGCAACATTCTTGCCAGGAACCTCAAGTTATGATCTACAACCCCACAGTGCCCTGAACTCCCTTGCTGAAGAGCATCCTGGCAACTCACTGGGATAAAAAATGACATTTCCCATTCTGCAAGGATGCAGCCCTCACCACTGCAGTTTATTCCAGGATATAAAAACATTAAAACATTTAGGCTGGAAACAACCTCTAGGATCACCAAGTCCACCCATTAACCTATGGAGAGCCTTGGCCTCTCCCAAGAAGATTTTGCACTTCATATGAAATGATCACACATTTTAGGGATCAGAGAGTCTGTAAATTTCCTGGGTGAGTACAACCATGGCCCAGCAAAGCTCTCAAACAGAAGTGAAAAAATGTGGACTGCAGTTCCTGCTCCAATGGCTGTTTATGGGTTTCATTCAACAACTGTTTCCTGTAGAAAGGCTTGTGACTTAATAGCTTAAACACTCTCCTGGTGCACAGGAGGGATGGGCCTGACAGAGTTCAGGCCTGAGAATGACAACTGGAAACAAAAATCCTTCCACTGAGCACATCAAGGGATGTGACTCCAGCCACCGGACACTGTCTGTGACACAGCCCTTTTCTTTTTCCTTTTGATTTTTTTTCCCCTGCTAGTTCTTTGGGTAACACTCCCCAGGAGCACTTTTTAATGAATCCTCCTCCAAGGTCTCAATGTATCATATGCAGGTGTGTGTAGGTGTGCACAGAGCCATGGAATGGTTTGGGTTGGAAGGGACCTTAAATCTCATCTCATCTCATCTCATCTCATTCCACCCCCTGCCACAGCTTCCACTAGACCAGACTGCCCCAAGCCCTGCCCAACCTGCCCTGGAACACTTCCAGGTTCGAGGGAGCCACCCTTTTGGGCATTAAACAAGAAAAAGTTACAACACAGGCAAAACAGCATCTCCTCTCTCCACTCCCTGCCTAACACATATAGGTATTTTTAGATGATTTCTGAAATTTTCCCTTAATAATCAAATTGCAAATGCATCATGTGTGAGCCACAGCTGACCCAGAAAAGGTCAGAATGAGCTGTACAGAATACACCCAATTACAAAAGCTGGAATCATCCTTTTTTTCCTTACATTTTGGCAGTGTAAAACCTCTCAAAAGTCTGTATATAGCACTGAAGGACGCTCCTGTTCCTACAATAGGATAAGAATCACAGACAGGGTTCAGGGCACAAAAGGAGGTTCTGAAAAGAACTCCCCCAGTGTTGCCCCTGTCTGGATATAAAAGACAACAGGAGATGATGATGTTTGCATGACCTGAGCACATCCTTCAGCTTACACATTGTGATTTTACATTAACTTTTAGTATTGCTATTTCTGCTCTGCAGTGATTATCTACTTCAAGAGCACAAAAATAGCATCTTAAGAGGGAGAAAAGGATGGTATTTGGTTTATCAAGTGAGTCTTCTGACAGAAAATCGCCCATTTGTCAACTGATGTCTACATTCCAGTGAGAAAACCTGGCGACAATCCAGGCACATCCTCTTCCCAACTCCCTCCACACAAAGCTAATGAGTTGACTACATCCAACTAATTGATTAGTTGGACGTAGCTATTAAAATAGGTAAGGAATGAGCCAGAAATCAACAATATTTCACAGTACAGAAATGAATGCAGTTTAAATAATCATATACAGTAATAAAAAACACTGTGTTTTGTTTTTCAATTAAAAAAAATCCCAATCTGTACATAAAAAATGATTTTAATGTCCATCATGGCTTATTAGTAAATCCTCTTGCACTGTTTTTAGGGGAAAAATAGAAAAGCAAAATCTTCATCTATTATTAACATGCATTTGCTATAGACCACATTTTGAAAAGGGCACTTCATTTTCTAATATATTTAATGTGGTCACATATAAATTTAAAGTAAGGCCTATAAATTATTTCGAGATACCATCCTGAAACATCATTGGAATTAAAAGCCATCAAGGAGTACTCTCACTGTTGCTTTAGTTTTGGTTTTGTTTTTTTTTAATTTTATTTTTAAATAGCACTCAGTAATGCGAGGTGTTTGGCTCCCTAGAAAGCATTTCCACAGCCTCCTGGGGAAAAAACCTACAGCCTGTGGGAAAAACCCTCATCATCTTCCACCTGATGGTGCAGAAAAGGGTGAGGAAGCACTGCAGAAACCAAAGAAGGAGTCAAGCAAGTCACATAGCCCAAGAAAACTTTATCTTGCTGGCTGCTCTCAGTAACTCTGCCACAACTCTCAGCAGAGATAATCTGAAAAATTCTGCATGTCTGGAGGTGCACACTGGATGAGACTTTTAACAGCTGAGAATGATGTTTAGTTATTCTAAACAACCTCAACTGTTCTTAATTTCTGGCTTTGATTTGTACTTGAAAACGGATTGCAACAGTGCTGTCACAGAGACAGTCTCCAGCTACATAATCAGGACACAATGGGAGAGGAGATAACACAGATCAGTTTGTGACCTCATTTCTTAGAGGGCCTGGAGTACATTTGGTCTGAGGAACATTGTGCTGGATCAGCAGCTGCTCAAACTCTTCTGTGTGACTCTCCCAGCTTGTGTCATCAGAGATCCAGCACATCTTTGGATCAGCTTCAAGGATGTTCCTGCCTGGGACTGGGGTTCTTAAAAGGCTCACACCCCAAAACCAGGCAGCTATTTGGAGGCTGTAAGCATAACCCACAGGGTGTGCATGTGGGGAGGATGTGTCAGGCCATACACCACGTTCCACAATGAGCTGTTTAAATGCCTGTGGAAGGAGGTCTCATCATGCTCTCCAAAAGGAATCACGTGTCTTGATTTAATACTACATAATGCTGTTTATAGGAAACCATGAAGTGACCCTGAGGATCCCTGAGCTACAGAATTATGCACAGGACAAGTTCACACAGCAGATTATGATAAACTGAGTACCAGGAAGCAAGAAAGCTGAGGATAACAGAACATGGCCTTTGCTTACTTTGTTCACTGACTTCTCTGGTGTTTTCACTGTCAGGTCAGCTTGCTTTCCTTTCTTTGAGGGTGTTCTCTTTATTTTTGGTGAATGAAACTTGCCCTTCAACTTCATCGTGAATGAGGAGAGATGGGAACGCTCAGAATCTAGAAAGACACAGAAAAGCATTACTGGATTAGGGCAAATATATTGAAACCAGAGACATGTAATAGTATTATCTGGAAGACACTTGTACCACGTAAATTTATTGAGTGGAACATGATAAAGAAAATTAATAAACTGTGGCTCTATATTATGTTTCAAACCACAATTCCACCATAATTTCCTGCTTTCCTCAACCACAACATCACCATCATTTCCTGCCTTCCTTGGAGACAGGAATGCTGCAAAGTGGAGGCAGGAACAGTGGGATTGCTACTGCTCTGTGCCTTGGAGGGAAGAGGAAAAACACCTCTCTTCAAAGCACTTATCTCCAACAGGTCCCCAAGTACTTTACAAAGGAGGCAATCATCGTGCCTCTCTGGCAGATGAGCAACTGAGTCAAGGGGATGAAGTGACTCCTCTGGCAGAGCAAAGCCCTTGGCTGTGGGTCAGTGCTGGGAGAGCTCTGCCTGGGACTGGGACCTGGCTGCTCCAGAGATGGAGAACACAACCCCAGGTAATGCCCTTCCCAGGATGCTGACCTCTAGCCACTCGACAGCATCAATTTTTAATGTGGCCCCATGGATAACCTGATCAAAAATGCCAGCCCTTGTCCTCTGCAATGGATTTCACTTCCAGTGTGCCAGAAAAAACAGAACTGCTTTGATACCAGGGCATCCTTCAAGATGCTAAACTGCAGAAGTGCTCAGCCCTTTTAAAAATTGTATTTCCATTGTTTTTTGAATACCTAAAAGTAGAAGTCTCAAAGGTTTGTAATCATGCCATATGCAGACTTACTTTGGAAATACATTTTTATCTCTTTAACTATGAAGCTAAATAAAACTAAGCTGCCTTGTAGAGAGCAATTTAGAAAGTATTTTGAGCAAAGAGCACTTTAATAAATGAAGGTCTGAGATGCTCTCTAGTGACCCAGATAATTCAGCAGAAGTTACCCCATTTGTCTATAACTACATTATCAAGAAAAGTACACAGTTTTGCTGTATGTTTAATTTTTCTTTTAGATTATCTGAGCATTAACTGCACTGGCTGTAATGAGTCCAGAGGACAGCCCAGTGCATGCAGCACTGCAGCACCTCGTTAGCATGCAGACTGCAAACAGCAAAGGCTGCTGAGTCAAATCTAGCACCCAGCAGCTAAATACCACATAGCAGTGCTGCTCCTCCTACTCAGAAACCACCTAACCACAGTTCAAGGAAAGGAACCTGACTCCCTTTAAACCTGGTTTCCTGCATGTTATGACCCTCTACGAGCACACTCACCAGTACTCTGGTTAGGGATGTCCTCTAGACCAAGATTTTGCAGGCATCCTATGAATGGAAGCTGTGTGAGCAATGATCCTAATCTAGTCTGCCTGCAGACCTGCTCTCCACTTACAGAACTAAATGTTTCCCAGGTTTTCCCTGTATCCTAAAGTCCTGTTTAGTGCACTGAGGGAGGCACTAAAAACCTTGGCCACTGCAGATAAATCCAGGCGTATCAGTTGGCCTCTGAAGAATCACTTACAGCAGCTGGCACCCCAACTTAGCAACAATTTACGTCAGTGTTTTACATCCACAAGAGGATCTCCAAACCTTTAAAACCTCTCTGTCTCCACAGGGTGCTGAAGGTCACCACTGAAGAGAGTTCCTGGCTGCTGTGATAACACTCTTGAACTCCTCCCCAGAAAATCATTTGTATTTATTCCATACACCATATGAGAATTTCCATATTTGCACGCATATGTACGCTTGCCATGAAATGTCATGGCTCTGAATTAATTTTTCAAGAACTGGCAAACAATTACAATAATTAATCTACAGGGAAGTAATGTGACAGCAACAAATTGTGTCTGGCTCCAGCACTGGCTGCAGTGAGATCCAAACTGCCGGTCTCAGTAAGAAAACACTCAATGCCTGCAAAACCCTTGGTCACCTATGGTGATAATTTTGGATTGTAGGGACAAGATATTTGGAAGGGAGAATGATTTCAAAAGATTACCATTTCCTTTTCTCATTGCCACCAGACATCTCTACCCATCTTGATGGGACAGGCCCATGAATGGTTGAACCAACACATCTGCATGGTCAGGCACCTCCAAAAGATGTCATCAGAGAAAGTTCTTTTTCTGCTGACAGCAGATCCTCTTCACCACCAGCAGCAGCCAACCACTGCCCCTCTGCTCTTTTTACCTTTTGGGCACACCAAACACCAAATCACTTGTGTGTCACACTCTGAGGGGAGAGACACACAGAGCAAGGACAGAAGCAAGTGGCTGGAGCAGAATAGAAACTGCTTAAAATAGTACTGGTGAAGTGAACCAGCTGACATTTGCAAAAATAATAAATGTTATTGTTTGAACAGCCCTGCTAAGTCCTGCTTTGAAGATCACAAATTAATGCAGCTTTTTACTGCCATGGCTTTCTGTCTACACCAAGCACTTTCCAGCTCTCATTTGCACACAAGTTTCTGATGCATTTGCAGTTAAACAAATGAGTCACAAACCAATATTCCCTCACACTCAATTACACTTAGCACTTAAAATAGCACTTTTCTTGTTCCAAGCACATTACAAACACATCGTCCTCATCCTTAAACAGCCAGGCCTTAACCTTACTCTGTAGATGGGTAGCAGGCACAGATGAAGCAAATTGTTTAAACAGAGCAGAGGGTGAGTCAGTGACTCTGGTACAGCATCTCCATCACTCTGCAGGCCCTCAGCCCTCTCCCTCCCCCTGCTCATGGATCAAGCTGTGGAGCTCCTGTGATTATGCTCAGTGAATGCCAGCAGAATTATCTGGCACACTGGGCTTTACAGTTTGCAAGCTGATACATCATTCAAGCACTATAAACAGAATTTGCTTTGTAATGAATCTGGATGAAGTGGTATAAAAGAGAAGTGACACTTGAGCAGGAAAGGAATCTAGCTCACAGGTGTAAGGAACCTAAGCTTTTACAGATGAAGCCTGAAACTCTCCTCTGAAGAGTACAGCTGAGCAAGACTTCCTCAACTGGTTACAGCAGCACTGGTCTGCTTTGAAAAAGTAACTTTTTTTATACTATATCCTAATTTAAATACCTTACATGTCCTGTGTGTCTGTCCAGTTAAAAAGTTCAAACAGCACAGCATGCCTTCACAGATTAAATAATGAGACAGAGGCAGAAAACAAAGCTCAAACCACTTCTGTCCCTCTGCTCCTTCCTGCCTATCTACAGTAACCAAACCCCTTAATGCAGCATTGAGATTGCTCTGAGCTTGGGCGTTTGCCCACTGGAAATTATTCTATCATATTACCCTCGCCTCTTGTTGATGAATAGCCAGCAGTGTTTAGCTGGAGCCTCAGCACTGGATTTCTCCTCTCTGGTGTGCAGGCAGAGGGTACCCTGCACTTACTTCTATGAAGAGTCAAAATATTTGTGAGATGAATGGGGAAAGTCAGGGTAATAAACTCAATGAAGTGATTTCAGCTGGAAGGAGGGAGAAGAAAAAAGTTGTATCAAAGTGTTTCTGTCTCAAAGGAAACACTGACTTTCCATGCCCTCGTATTTCATCCGTCTGGATGCTCTCTGTTGCTGCACACGACTGGAAAAAAAGCCCTTCAAAATGACTTTATTACAGATCTGGGTTTCTTGATTTCTGACTGGAAGCTTCACTACATCACTCGTTTCACAGCCAATTCCATCCCCTGTCAGTGAGGCTCCCGCTCCGCCGTGCTTGAACGTGCTCCAGCTGTTGAGTCACGGCCCTGCTCAGCTCCCAGGCTCGTCTCCTCCGGCACGTGTCTGGGCCCTGACCACACACACAACACCACAGAGCTCGCCTGACATGCCTGCTCCAACCAGCCCCGCTGTCAGGTGTGGCCACAGGGGTTTTTCAGTATCCCTCAAGCCCCCAGAGCAGACAGAGCATGGCTAAGGAGAACACGGCCAAGCAGGAGCCGCCTGATTCCCCACCAAGCTCCAGCAACTGGTGCTGCTGCTGCTGCCAGTTTCCTCTGGTGAGGAAAGACCTGCAGGTTTAAAACAACAGTGGATTAAAAGGGAAGGCAGATAAATCAGCTTATGAGCTTGTGGGCAAAGAAACAAAGGCTGCTTAGGAGAAAGCCAGAGAGCCCAACATCCACCTATGCCACAGTCAAATGGTCACTCTCCACTTGGGGTCAAATGAAGGCCAGAGTAAAAACACACACAAGCTGGTGAATTCCACCGAGCTAAGCCAGAAGCAAATTACTTGCTTTGAAGTCAAAGTGAAAGTTCAGCCTTTTACAGAGCTCAGTCACAGCAGAGTTTCCATCTGCTGGGTCCCACTCGCCAGCCTTGTGTAACCAGCACATGGGAGCCTTCAGAAATGGGAAATAATGCCCTGCCTGCTTCTGCATCTCCTGGTCCTGTTTTTGTCACTATTGCTCCATGGCAGGGAGGCTCCAGCAGCTGGGACAGGTCACTCAACTTGTCTAATGATTGGATCATATAAAACTAATTGAAAATATACTTATTTTTAATTAAAACCCCACAGATTTTAGAATACAGTGCTTTTTCTTTCCTTCATCTGAAAAACTAAACCCTCCATCTTCTCTTACTCTCTGTGTGTTCAGACACCAAAACCCTGCAGCTTTGGTGGAGGTGCAACCTTAAAAAAGGGTTATAGTTCATTTTCCAGCTCGTCCTGACTTTTGCAGCTTGTTAGAAAGAACGAAGCGGAGCCTAAAAATCTTATTGCACAAATGGTTCCTTTTTCAAAGGCCATTTAGGTCTCTGCTGGATGCACATATTTAAAAGCTATCAGATTAAAAATAACAGCACACATCTCTCCCCATGTCGTAATGAAGCTATTGTGCACA